CGAAATAGTAAATACTGGTGGCTTTTTAACACTTTACAGCATAATACATGCTAGAGCTTACCAAATACTGAAGTACAGCCAAATTGGAAGTGCGATAGTTCAGTTAAGCTGATCGCAGTGCTTTTTCCAGCTTTTGCATTACATTGAATTGTATCTGAATATAATGAAGGGCAGCAGATTTGTTAGAGGTAGTAATTAGTGTTGCACTGTTTAAGTAGGCCAGTAGTAGTTTCTGGAGCAAGACTAGAGTTTTGCTTTTGGACTTTTTGAGCAGGTTCATCTTCTTGCCTCTCTGGGATGAAGAGTGCATGAAACACATAGAATGTAACTAAACAAGTGTAAGACATCTTGTTTATGAACTTCCTTCAGACTTGCTGACTTTAGATCTAAAATGTTCTTCAGAGCAAGCTGATGAAAACCCGCTAAAGAACATGGTGTTTTCAATCTAAGTTAGTAAAAATTGGTGGTGTTCTAGTGCATTTAGTTAGGAAATAACTAACTTGATTTTTGAGGTAGAAGTTTGTCCTTTTGGAGGGGGAGGATGGGGATTGTATCTGGGTTTATGGATATTGAGGGGTATGGGAGGAAGCTACAAAACACTATAGTCTGGGCTGTAAGAATTCCATTTCAGTTTACTAATGTCATACATTGTGACAGATTTTTTAAAAGGTCATCTAATTCTTTAGGAATATCATATGTATTCAATAATCATAGAATTCAGAATGCCCGTTTCCTAACTGTTAACATTTATCTGTTTTGTAAGGATGTGATTTGGAACGACAGTCAAGTACTTGGTTCAACGTTAGTGTGAGAATTAGCTGTGTAGCACTCTGAAATATCTTTCCCCCCTGCCATGAATTATTGCAGTTTAATTTTGCCGTGAAGCCTTTGTTCATCTCCCCTTCTCCTGTCAAAAAAATTGAAACAACTCAGATTTTTTGAATTCTTACTTGAATAAAAATGTGAAGTAGTTAAAAAAATATGTTGGGATTATGTAAATATAGGAAACTAACTTTTTTTCTTAATTTGTGCAGCAATGATGGTTCAGAATTTGGTGGGTCTATTTACCAGAAAGTGAGTGACAATCTTGAAACTGCTGTAAACCTGGCTTGGACAGCAGGTAGCAACAGCACTCGCTTTGGCATTGCGGCTAAATACAAGTTGGATTCCACTGCTTCTATCTCTGTAAGTATGGCTCTAACCAAAAGGGTTATGCTAAGCACAGTTTATTTTCAGTTTCTGTGAATCTGTGTGTTATTACTACAAAAGAAGGTAATAGGTCAGGAAGTCTTGTAGGAATTACTCTTACAATCCAGGCAGTTATAATTAAACCAGCAGTATTTACATTTTGTAATGTTGCATACAGTGAGGTCTGTTTTAGAATCTGTAAAATGTTGTGCTGCTGTAGAGGACTTAATGTATTTATTTAAAAAAAAAAAAAAATTGGAAAAAAATCCCTTCATGTCTAGTTTCATAAGTTTACAGAATTTTTTAAAACCAATTTTGGGGAGCTCTGCCATGGCAAGAACTCTGGTGATACTGATTAAAAAGGTGATAGGCAGAAAAGCTTTCTGTATGCTAAAAAGTTAGAATTGAACCTGGATTGATGGAATCATCCTCTAGAGGAAGTGATGCGAAGCGAGATAGATAATTTTGCATGTATTGCTTATGATGATATTATGAAATATTTGCTGCTTGACTGATTGGACCTGCAAGATACTAATTCTTTTGTAATAATACAAAGATGGAGGATTCTTCTGAAGCGGCTTGTTTTGCGACTGTGGTGGTAAATTGCTATGGCCCT